CTTTCCCTTTCCCTCAGGACAGACGAGGAGGCCCCCTTTTCCTTCGCTTTCCCCCGGGATAGAGGAGGAGGATATTCCTTCAACTCCCTTGCAAGCAGGGCAGAGGAGGAGGAGGAGGAGGAGGAAGAGAAGGTTCCTCCCATCCCCTTTCCGACAAAAAGGAGGAGGATGAGGAGGAGGAAGAGGAAGTGGGAAAGAAGGTTCCTTCCCTTCCCTCTGCCTCAGGGAAGAAGAGGATGAGGTCCCCTTCCTGCCCCTTTCCATCAGGAGGAGGAGGAAGAGGAGGAGGATGCTCATTCCCTGCCTTTTCCTTCAGGAGGAAGAGGGGGAGAAGAAGGAGGACAAGCCTTCCCTGTCTTTCCCTCAGGAAGAAAGAGGAGGCGGTTCCCTTCCTTCCCCTGTCCCCCAGGAAGGAGAAGGAGGATGCTCATTCGCTTCCCCTTCTCTCCGAAGGAGGAGGAGAAGAAGGAGGCTCACTCCCTCCATTCTCCCTCAGGAAGGATGAGGAGGAAATTCGTTCCCTTCCCTTTCCTCAGGAAGGGGGAGGAGGAGGCGGAGGAGGAGGAAGGAGGAGGTTCCGCCATTTCCCTTCCCATCAGGAGGAGGAGGAGGAGGAGGTACCTCCCCTTCCCCTTCCCGTAGGAAGGAGAAGAGGATGTCCCTTCCTTTCCCGACCCTTCAGGACAGCGGGGGAGGAGGAGGTTTCTTCCCTCTCCTTGCCCTCAGAAGGAGGAGGAGGGGAATGAAGATCATTTCCTTCTCCCTCCCTTAGGGAGGACGAGGAGGAAGTCCCCTTCCCGCCCATGTCAATCAGAAAGAGGAGGAATAGGAGGAGGAGCAGGGTCATTCCCTGCCCTGTCTGTCAGGAAGGAGACTGAGAATGCGGCCCCTTCCCTTCCTTCTCCCTCAGGAGGAGGAGGATATTTGCCCTTCCCTGTCCTTCGGGATGGAAGAGGCGTAGGAGTAGAAGGAGGAGGAGGAGGAGGAGGTTCCCTTCCCTTTCATCATGATGGAAAGGAGGATGGGTTTTGACGCAGCAGAAGAGAAACAAGAAAAAGAGAGAGAGAGAGAGACAGAGCAGGGGAGATACATAGAGAACGAGAAAGAGAAAGATAATGCGAAAGATAGAGAGAGGGAGTCGCAGGGAGAGATTCGCATAGGTTTTTATCTTAAAAAAAAAACACACATAAAATCCACCAGGCCCCATTTGCGCCCCGAGCGAGCGCAGGCCCCACCCCATCTGGTGGGAATGTTACCGCAGCGATGTGGGTCACGCCGCGTTCGGGCAAGAGGGCGGCCGCGGGCTAGTAGATTGCGCACCTGCGCAGCGGGGAAAGCAAGAGGGCGGCCGCGGACGAGAAGGCAGGGGGAGCCAGGCTCAGAACAAGAGATCTCAGGCGGGGCACACGCCTAGGCTCATCCTATCGGTTGCACTGCCGCATCGGGCCTGGCCAAGATCGGTGGTGGTCAATTGACGTCGCCCCGCCAGAACCCAGGTGTATGAAGCATCCGTTGTGGCCCAAGCCTTTTTTCCGCGCCGCTCCTGCTCTGCCACGCCCCCCTCCCCCTCCCGCCTGGGCCTGCTTCTCGAGCCGGGTCAGGCTCCAGAGGAGGGCGCGCGGGCATGTTGGTCGCTGCTCGCAGGCCCGTGCCAGGACAGAGCACAACGCAGGAAGACCATTCCCCCCCCACTCATCATGATCGTCCCCCCTCGCCCTCCTGTCTCCCTCTCCCTCTCCTCCTCCTCCTCCACTCCTCTTCCTTTTGAACAACTCCTCCCCGTCGCGCCCCGAGGCCAATCGGAAAGGCGGGCTGGGTGTTTCGCCTGAGACGCCCTTACAACCTCTGATCCTGTAGCTTCAAGATTGGCAACAGCTTCACAGATGGAGGGCGGGTCGCTTCCAAAATGTGGTTCTCGCACGAGCGCCGCGCAGATTCGTCTTAAAGAAGTGCACGAGCTTCACAGATGAAGAGCGGGTCGTTTCCATAATGTGGTTTTCGCCTTAGCGCTGCGCACAGTCGTCTGAAGAACGCAAGAGCTTCACGGATGGAGGGCGGGCCGTTTTCAAAATGCGGTTCTCGCCTAGCGCCGCGCACATCCGTCTTAAACAATTGCAAGAGATTCACGGATTGAGGGCAGTTACTGTATTTTCAAAATGTGCCTCTCGCATAATGCCGCGCACACTCGTCTTAAAATGTTGCAAGAGCTTCACGGATTGAGGGCGGTTCCTTTTCAAAACGTGGTTTTCGCCCTAGCGCCGCGCACATTCGTCTTAAACATTTGCCAGAGTTTTCCGGAATCCCATGGGTAACGTGCCAATAATGGCGTTTGCGAGCGATTCGGGGCTGTCAGGGCGCAACAGTTACTTTGACTCGCTATGCTGAAATCCCAGGTTTGGCACGGTTCACGATCCTCAATGCGCTTGGCGTTGACGTCCCGAAAACGGTGTTTTGGCACTTCAGGATCTTCAAACGGTGGTCTCCCAACGGGGCCCTTCCGTCAGTGGAAATAAATCCTTGTAGGGGCCTATGAAGAGGGAGCTTGGGGTGAGGCTTTTATTCCAACATCGTTGATGAGTCTAGGTTGGGTGTACACTTGTCCTCCTCCTGCTCCTCCTCCTCCTCCTCTTCCCCCTCCTCCTCATCCTCCTCCTCCTCCTCCTCCTCCTCCTCCTCCTCCTCCTCCTCCTCTCCTCCTCCTCCTCCTCCTCCTACTCCTCCTCCTCCTCCTCCTCCTCCTCCTCCTCCTCCTCCTCCTCCTCCTCCTCCTCCTCCTCCTCCTCCTCCTCAGCGTCATCGTCATCACCGTTTCTTTTTCCTGATAGATACCTCCTCCGTGTCGCACCCCCAGACATGTTGGCAGGGCGGGTCAGGCGTTTCGCCTGCGATTTCCTCACCACTTCTGTTCCTGAAGCTTGGAGATTGCATCAGTTGCATACTTCAAAGAGGGTCCTTCTCGAAATTGGATTCCCTCCGCAGTGCCGCGCACGGTCGTCACACCAAAAAGATGCAATAGCTGCAAGGATGGAGGGTGGTTCCTGTTCATCATGAGGCTCTCGCCTTGGCACCGCAAACATTCATCTTAAAAGCTTGCAACAGTTACGAGGATGGACCAAGGATGGAGGGAACCGTCTCCAAAACGGGGCTCTCGCCGCAGCGCCGCTCCCACCCGTCCTGAGCACTCGCGACAGGCTCACGGGTTGGAGCAGGAGTTGCCTTGACAAAAGCTATCGCGCCACGCTTTTTTGACGAGCGGACAGCAGGCGCCCCGCGCAGCCGCGGGCGCCCGGGAAGGCGCCGATCAGTCCGGCGCTTTGGGGAGCTGCGCGCGTCGCTGCGCAGCGAGGCATGCAAAGTCCGCCGCGCTGCCCCCAGCGAAGCGAATTACTTCAAAGTCCTGCAACAATTACACGAAGGACCGACGGCGCGCTTTCACCGTGGGGCTCCCGCTCTTCCGCGCGGCACGCTCGCCCTCGGAGCTCGCAGCGGCGACGGGGACGCAGGGCGGCCCCTCTTCGGAGCAGGGCTCTCGTTGAAGCGTCTCTATGAGACGTCCTGACGCTGAAGACCACAGCCTGCACAGATAGGAGGAGGAGGAGGAGGAGGAGGAGGAGGAGGAGGAGACGGAGGAGGAGGAGGAGGAGGAGGAGGAGGAGGAGGAGGAGGAGCGGGAGGAGGAGGGTTCGAGGGGGGGGGAGGGCGGATGGGGGAGCGTCCGACCGTCCCCCTTCCCTGGGGCGACGCCGGGGGGGGAGGCCCCACGCGCTGCACATATAGGAAACAAAAAAAGAAAGGAGAAAAAAAAAAAAAAAAAAAAGGTAAGAAGTAAAAAATAAGACAGAAAACATTTGGCGGCGGCAAAGTAGAAAATGACAAAACAAAAAAAAAGAGAAGCACCACGACTATAAAACCCCGGAACAACACCCGCTCCGCCATCATGCTATGCCCCCCTCCCTTCAACACTTGTATTCAGTGGGGCTTGGCGGCCCCTTCGCGAAACGGGCCTCTCGCGCCGGCCCGCCTCCAAGTTCACGACCGGACGTGCAAAGAGGTGCGCAACGGCTACAACAGCGGGGCGGTCCTTTCCCGAATGGAGATCTCACTGAAAGCCTCGCTGAATGCTTGTATGATCAGACTTTATCGTATCCTCTGCTCTTCGTGGGAAGGATGCAAGACAGTTCCTTTTCAAAGCGGAGTTGTGGCTTGAATGACAGGCCCATAGCCTGCTGGTCTTTCAAGGGGGCGCCTCTCACAGTAAAAAAGACAGCCCTGTGGAGATGTATGAAGAGGGGCGTCAGGACGGAAGAGTGTCTTGCAGTACCGCTGATGCATATTGGGTTTGCTCTGTCCATCCTCCACCACCGCAGCGCTCCGCAGCGATCGCACCGTTCGCACACCACATCACCTCGACGTGATCGTCCATGGCATGGTGCTGGAATCCCTGACCAGCCAAAAAAAGAAATAAAAAAAAATAAGAGAGCAAATCAAAGAAGAGGCATACAAAAAAACAAAAAAAAAAATAAAAAAAAATAGAGTTAAACTTACGGCCGCCTCGTAGCATGTTAAAAAATAAAATACAAAAAATAAAACTATAAAATATGAAGTAAAACAGAGAAACTTAGCAAATAAAAGGAAAACAAAAACAAAAAAAACAAAAAGGCAAGATATCTCAATAGCCCCGGCGATAACGGAGAAGGTATAACGATTCCATCTCTCCTCCTCCTCCCACACCCTCCTTCTCCTCCTACTATTTCCACATGCACCTCCTCTTTCTTCCTCCTCCTCACTCCTCCTCCTCCTCCTCTCCTCCCTCCTCTTCCATCCTGCTCCTCCTGCCCTCCTCCTCTCCTCCTCCTCCTCCTCCTCCACCACCTCCTCTCCTCTCCTCCTCCTCCTCCTCCTCCTCCTCCTCCTCCTCCTCCTATCCACAGCCTCATCCCCCTTTTCCTCCCAAACTCAGCCCCCACCTCCCGCCAGTCATCCCACGCTTCCGTTTCGGCCTTCAAAGCCTCTGGAAATTCTATGAAGCTGAAAATCTTCTTCAGGATCTCCTGGGGGGGCAACACAAGCGGAGCGAAGAGCTGTGGGGGATGGAGCGAGGACGACTCGGGAGGAGGAGGAGGGATGGGGGGATAGAGGAAGATGAGCAGGAGCAGGACCAGCAGGAGGAGGACGAAGGCACTAACATAGCCTGTGGGAGCACTCTGGGCTTCACGAGTGGGATTCGGCGTGTTGCAGCGATCGGCCCTGCAGCGGTGCGTTCGCGGTTGTAGAGGGAAAAGAACTATGCACATGCACCGATTCTGGCCAGGCCCATCCTGAGCCCAGGATCGGTGCATACGCCCTCCTACCTTGGCCAGGAAGGCATATGCACCGATCCTGGGTCAAAAATGGGCCTTGCCAGGATCGGTGCATGTGCATAGTTCTCTTCGCCCGATTGGTCCGCCCTGGAAAAGGGCATCACAGCTGCGGAGTTCGTGCCGGAGGGACAGAGCGGCTTCGGCAGCAGTCGACCCCCCCCCCCGACAGCCTCTCGAGCGTATGGCCACCTCGAAGACGAGCGAGAGGAAGTCCGTGGAGCCTCCCTGTGGCGAGCGAGGGAGGCTTAAGCAAAATCGGGGGGGGGGTCCTAACTCTGTCTCGCTCCGTTTCTCTCTCTCTCTCTCTCTCTCTCTCTTTCTCCCTCTCTCTCTCTGTCTCTTTATCTCTCTCTCTCTCTCTCTTTCTCTCTTTCTCTCTCTCTCTCTTTCTTTCTCTCTCTCTCTCTCTCTCTCTCTCTCTCTCTCTCTTTCTCTCGTCTTGTTATATATATATATACACATACTTACATACATACATACATACATACATACGTACGTACATACATACATACATACATACATACATACATACATACATACATACATACATATATATATATGTGTAAATGTATATAAATATATATACATATATATAAATATATATATTATCTCTCTCTCTCTCTTTCTGACTCTTTCTCTCTCTCTCTCTCTCTCTCTCTCTCTCTCTCTCTCTGTCTTTCTTGCGAGCCTGGGCTCAGAATGGAAGGACCGCCCTGGCCACTCGCGAACCCTTCGCATCGCAGCGGCGAGGAGGAACAGGAAGGGGAACGGGGAACGGGATGGGCGGGAAAGTGGAGGAGGCAGGAGGAGGCCAGAGGAGGCAGGCGAGAAGAGGTGGAAGGCGCGGAGAGGGAGGCAAGACAGAGGGTGACGGACGCCACCTGCGGCCGCGTCCTATTCATCCAGGGACGAACACGGGCAGATCAGTACCTACTTTTCTGCGGCGCGTGACCGGCACGTGGCCTTGTTTCTTGCGTGTTTTCGCCCGCTCCGCCTTTTCAATGGGAACAGCGAAAGACGTGGGCACCTGATTAACAAAGAAGGTGGTTTGCCAATCTTTTCGTACGGCAAAGGTCCCTGTCTCCAGCTCGATGCGTCGACGACGAGACTGCCTGGCTCGTGTTGGGGGTTGACGCACGTTGTCCTGTCATCTGCCGGTAAGGCAAGGGAGACCAGGTAAAGGGAGGTTTTGGCCAGTGGCCGGTGTAAAACGAGACTTCCGGAGCAGACCGTGGACACGTGTCACGGAGCTCTTGCTGACGTCAAAGATCCAGTAATATTCCTTCATGGCGTTGTCGGTGTCGGTGTTGGCGCGTACCATGTGGCCTGTAATCGCATCTGGATCATGAAGGTCAAATGCAACTTCACGTACTTCGACAATCTTCTTCGCCTTGCGAATTTTGACGTTCAGATGTATATTGTTGTTGAATATCCTATCTCGCGGTATCCTTTTGAGTCGAGATTGTCGTGCTGGCGAACAGTCCGGGTTGAAAGCGCCGGACACTCGACGAAGTTGCCGAAGCCTCCTAGCCTAGAAGTGCAGCTGGTGTGTTCGCGGGTCATACAATCCTCGGCTCTTCCCGAGCAGAAGACGCTGCTCGGGCCAGGCCAAAGTACGCGACCGATCGCACGTGGAGTTGCGCAAATACTTCTGCCTTGACCCCCTTTGCCCGGGAAATAAACGCGGGGCCCTTCTCGGGAGGGCGCCACCGGGTCCAATGCCGGGAGGCCCGGCGCACCGAGTCCTTGGGGCGCGCGCGCAGCAGGCTCGTCCCCCGCTCTATCGTCGCGACGATGTGGAATGCACTTTCGGCAGGTGACTCGTTGTGAGGTTCTGGTGCAAGTTCAAGTCGGCAGAGCCTGGCGAAGACCTGTCTCATGCCAAATGCTGGGTTTGTGACTGACTAGTTCTACCGCACGATCCAGCCTGGTTGCCAAGTCCATTGCAGCACAGGGCATTCGCCAACTCCCACACGAGAATAATATGCCGTAGCAGCTCTCGGGCACGATTGCAATGACTCCCCTGATAAGTATGGCTAGGCGGCATCATGGACCAGACCAACTGGCATCCCTGTCGGGCGACTTCACTAAGGCGAACGGAGAAATTGGCAGACATGACGCTGACGGGATGGAGCGCTCGCATCTGCCATCCGCGCTGCCCAAGACCACTAGCACCTGCGGGCGTGAGCTCTACATCACTAAAGCGCGGTTGGGACGCGAAGTTGGCCCCCGCGCAAGGAGAGGCGGGGCGCCCCCGGAAGGGGCCTCAACTAACGCAGAGCCGAGGGTCGACCGCTGCTCAGCCCCCTGGCTGGAAGGGGCCGCTGCCGGCGCCGCGTCCTCCGTCTCCGCCCCCGCGTCGTCAACGCGGGCGCGCAGCTGAACGCCGCCGTCGGGCGCGCCGCCCGCGGCTCGCACAGCCCTCCCGAAGTGTCGACGACCATCACCAGGTGTCCGCTCGGAGCAGTGGGATGCGGATGGCACCCGCAGGCCATGGGATCTGGACGTCGCCGCCGCCGGGCAAGATCAGCTCGCGTCGGCCCCATGCCCAGGCTCGCGCGCACGGGCCCCATGCTGCGTAGACCGAGCAGGCCAGGCAGGTCACTGCCCGATCCTCTGACAATGGACGACGTGGAACTGCGGACGGTGGCTTTGCCCTGCTCATCCGTGGGCAATGGGGGCGCCCACCTGGCGGGTGCACTCTTGGGCCCCGTTGCCAACTCCCCGGGTACTTAAGGCTTGCTCGCGAGGACCAGCCGCGGCCGGCGCCCCGCCGCCGCGGCTCGGCGACAGCTGGCGCGCAAGCGTCTCACCCATGAGATTAGTCCACGCACCTGGGCCCACGACGAAGCCAGGCTCGCCCGAGGGAAACTGGGCACGACTGCGACAAACCTGCGCGGCGCGCTCGCTTGCCGCCGCAGTGGCCGGCCACCAGGGACGCACGACGGCCCCGCCACTCTGCGCTGAGCCTTGGGGCGACTGCTGTCCACAGGTGGATGCAGGAATGCTGAATGTGATCTCGCCGATCGGTGCGTCTCGCGGCGCGGCCAGGACCCCGCCAGCACCGGACGGCGCGCACTCCCCCGATGCTTCGCGGTGCGGGGGCGCCACGTGGAAGCGCGAAACCTCGCGCGCCGTCAAGCGTCGCCTACACGCCAGGCATTGTGAGAATGGTGCTCGGGCCTGGTCGGCGCGAAGTGTTTCTTCTACTGCTCGCATATGACGGCGAGGTCCAAGCCGACGTAGCGGCCCTAACAGATTCTAGAAATCCCATCGGCATCAACGCCCACTCCTGTGAGTTCTGACTCGGCGCGTAGATCCGACGGCAGCGGCGGTGGCGCCACGGCTGAAGGCCCAGCCATGACCATGTCGATTATCTGCTGGGCGCGCCCATGTCGGCGGGCACGTCGTCGTTCCACCCGGGCGTCGGGGTCGGCCTCCGATCCGGCCATGGAAGACAGCCCGATGGATATCTCGGGGGCCAGGTCGCGCACGACGTTGACCCTGATAGCCTCGGTCGGCACCTCTGCTAGGTGCTCACATCCGCGGCGCTGCTTGTCTGGCAGGGCAGCCTGCGCTAGCCGGCCCTGCCGCGGGCGCGCGAGTTGGCCGGAACCACCGATGCGAGGGGCGGCGATCCGCCAATCGTCGGGGGCAGCGTGCTGGCCCAGCGGGATAGCGGCGCCCGGGCCGCGCTGCTGGCCGACAAGGTTCATCTCGCGGGGGCACCACAAATCCGCGGCCATCCGTGGCGCGCTGGCGGAGGGGCGAACTACATCGGCGGCTGCTGCCCGCCCCGCGGCGGCGGCGGCCGCGCCCGGGAACGGCGGCAGCACTGGCATTTGCAAGGGTCCTGAAGCTGTCGTTGCAACGAGGCGGCAAGACAGAGGCGGTGGCAAGACTGCCGGCGCGCCAGCGCACGCGTGGCCGAAGACCGCGGCGAGCGAAGCTGCTGACCACGAGCCGCGAACAGATCCTGACAGCGGCCAGGAGCAGTCGACGGATGACTGCACTGGCGCGGCGCTGGAACCTGGCCGCGGCTGAGAAGGCCCTCAGCGACCACGAAGGCAACTCCAGAGATCCGGGCAAAGGGGCCGTAGCCCAGGGCGCCGTCTATAGGTGCGGAGTCTGCGCAACCTCCGAACTGGCCACCGCCGCCGCTGCCCCGCGGCGGCGACGCGGTGCCTCGCGAGCACTCCGCGCGGAAGCGGCACTCGCCCCTACAGATGCTACACTTCATGACGGCCCCCGTCATAGCCTCGAGGGTCGTGGCGCCTGCTTCCCCCTTGCCCGACGAGCGCCCACCCCTGCCTTGTCCTTCCCAACCGAAGACGGCCCGATCTACTTGAGCGTCTGAGAACTCCAAGAGACACGCGTAGTTCTGGGCACTTTTGCCTCCGCATTTGCCTCTGCCTTTTTCTGGTGGAGGTGTCGTTGCTCTTCTTGATACATCGCGCGCAGGACGTTGCATGCGTCTGCGCCCCTGACGTTTCACAGTTTTCATCTGCCAGAACAACTGAACATCTATCTGCGCAGGGCTGAGACAATGGAACTCTGGCGCTTGGCAAGCGACCTCTCCGCCTGGAAGCGAGCTGGTGTCTGACGAGGTTCCGTCGACGTAGTCGGCGCCCTCCGCGGGCGCCCACGCGGCGGCAGGACAGGCTGCCTGCGGCGGCGCGGCACTCTGCGACGGGC